TCCTCCTGGTCTCAGTCTCTCCTCCTGGTCTCAGTCTCTCCTCCTGGCACCCGCCTATGTGCAAACGAAACCACACACTCGACTCGGATTGGACGCCTCCCATGCCTCCATGGCCCCCGATTCTCCAACTGATGCAGGAGCCACCGATGGAGTCAATACTTTTTCGAGCCCTTGAATTCTCCAGACAAAAACTTTGGGGGACGGATCACCACTCACAAAGTGATCCGCTGAAGCTTCCTCTATACCCTTCCAAATAGTTTTTTCCTGCCAAAGGCAGCTATCAGCTACCACAAAAAATATTCCCCACAACCTGCCAGGAGCAGACTGAACACTGCTCACCTGCAGCTCACCAAAAAAAAAAAACTAAACCATGGAACACATCAATGGAAAACATCCTGCATCACCTCCAAGTGGATTACCCTTCGTATGATATCGTTCATTTCATCTGAGCCTTCTGGGTCCTTCCACCTTCGAAGGTGGTTCTCCCTCAGCCGAGCGGCCCACCAATCGCCCTCGCCCTGACCATAGAGCTTTTGAAAGCCATTGCTGGAATGCCTCGACTACCGGATCGGATCTCGGATAGAAAGGGAGCGATAGACGTGGAGAGGCAGGAGAGCTGGCAGAGGTTCCCGCCAGCTGTGTGGGGGAAAGGTTTGGATGGCCAAAACCTAGAAGATTGGGACTGGAAGAGTTACGCCAACTATGGATGGGTCATAAAGTTATACAGTAAATGTACCAAGGGATGCATTTCGGTCTACACACTCCTACATGTTGCACCTGTCACAAAACAACCTTGATTGAACCTTTGAAGTCGCCACCTCCGTCCCCTGCATAGTGTGCTCGCCACCTCCGTTTCACCCCTGCTCCGGGCAGCAAGATCGGATATCTCACCGAGGAGACGTCACAAAGAACCTCCAGGACTGGCCACACCGGGCAGGACCGGATGGGGGGGGACCGCGGGACCAGGCTGTGGAGTGGGAGAGCCAAATGGATTTGGTTCAGAACCGGGGGCCCATGGACTCTATATTTCTTGTGGATCTGAAACAATAAAACCTGGTTTGAGCCGATGTTCTTGGTATGACTTTTCTCCATGTTTCACTATGTTTCAAGATCGCATCCGTTTTCTCATAGGAAAAAGGATGGGAAATGGGTTTAGATTGAATTTGTTTCTCCTTTTAGGGGGCCTGGGCGTCAATTCATCAATTGGCCTTGCCTGAGATGCCATCAATGCAAGGCACAGGTGTATAATTCGGGAGTCTTCAGATTATGATGGTTGAGAAGAGTTCGGACATCCACCAAGACCAAACGCGTCTCACATGGTTTGCAGGAATATACCCCAAGAGTTTCACCGACTGAGTCGATCAAACAGACTGAGCCCAGTCTGGGAGGGATTCTCCGGAGCTAGCAATCTATACATCAACATATCATCCAATTGTTGCTTGCCTGCTTGCCTGTGCCTTGGATTCTGTGCCTGATGCTCCCCTCAAATGCCCTGGACTTCTGGAAAACAGGTACTGGACTCCTGGACTGGTGTAAAGGAGACTGAGGATGAAAACAAAGCAGTCTCAAAATCCCAAGTGTTGGAACTCACCAACGACCCAACTGGTCCACTTCCCACCCGCTGCAATCCCTTGCCCTCGCGTTCGACCAGGCACAAAGCAGTCGCTCGATTCGTTCACCAGCTCCATGACGACGCGTTCGACCTGACAGTCGAATGGTAGCTGACAGTCGACCTGACTTAGAGTTGCTTAATGAAGCAACCTGGAAAATTAAACACATATCCACCAGGTTTGGGAATTTAACTTGATTTAACTTGATTAGGACGATCCCACCTTCGAGACCTGTTTTGCAGGTCCGATCAAGGGGCGCATCACGGGAGCGCCACTCACGGGAGCGCACTGGACATTTCACTCACTTGCGGAAAGCACTCACGTGTTGTGCACTGGAAAGCACTACAGACCAGCAAATTTTCTTTTCCAGTGCATGCCACAAGCGAGTATCATTTCCAGTGTGCAAGCGAGTGTTCGCCCCGCATCACCCCCTTTTCGTGGGGAACCCCTGTTCAAGAAGGAAAATGGTCTTCCAAAATATCATGCCATCCACTTGCATGTTCTGCTATAGTAAGTATATATATATATTAATCTATTATCATTTATTATCGCCTTCATGACTTCAAGACAGTCAATGTCAATGGACTGACGGACTCCGACCCAAAGTTTAAGGACTCTCCGAAGAATTTTGGGGAGGTGGGATTGCTACCCGGATGCCGGATCAAGCACCCATCAATCCACGCTTTCCATGTCGGCACATGTGATCACATCTTCCAACACATGAAGCCCACACATGGCTCTCTCCGCCACACGCGCGCGCGACGAACTCCCCGTCAAGGAACTCAAGCCACCAAGAAAGAAGCAGTCTTCCTTAGCCGAGAAGTCCCCGACTTGTTGCGGATGACCAAGTGATAAACAATGAATCTTGCCAAGGCCTTTGGGGCCATAGATATTCTGTGATATTAAATAACATAATCTATTTATACACATAAATGACAGCACTGAAGTCACTGAAGTATAATTATTTAATCGATATACGGCCTACTATCGTACAGTACCACTTACATCATACGGGCGCCACCACTACGGTGCCCGGGGCGTGGGGATTAGTACCGATCAGTACCTGCCAGGTGTTGCCAGGTGTTGCCCTCAGCTCTTCATCTAACTGAGTGGCCAGGTCCGGCGACCAAGCCCTGCTGACACGATGCGACACGGCATGGCATGAAGGACCTCTTAATTAAGGCATGCCCTAACAGACCGGGATGCGATTATGCGACGTCCCACACGACATGCACAAACAAAAGCTGCAAAACACATGATCTATAGCAAAGCTAGGCTACATTTTGAGGACAATCTCATCAGAATATGAACTCGCATGAATTACAAAGAACAACATGATTTTGGCAAGGAATCAGCGTTCGAAGTGGCTGTGCTGCAAGTCCTTATTACCTAGAGCATCCTGGTCACATACTTCATCCAGTTGGAGCAAACAAATTTGCAGATCTATCCGGCAAGCTCTTGGACCAGTGCCAACTAAGTCTTTTCCAGATCTTTCCGGCAGTTCGTTCCATTCCATTGAATCCACAGCACTGCCCAGCTTAGACCTGCCAAGTCTCCTACTCCTGCCAACTGGGGACCTTCCAAAGCCTGTAGCTGCAGGGGCTACCTCACAAAACGGCCGGGACAGGCCCCCCGGAGGGGTCCGAGTGAGTTGGGTGTGGCCTTCACACTCCGAGCACTCGAAGGGAAGCACGTGATTTGGTATCCTTTGGTGTCTGGAATTTTTGGGAGCGGGTGAAGAGAGCCAAGTTGACTGGAAGACCGGTGAAACGCCCCAATTTCACTGTCTGTCTATATAATCAATCAGTGGCAATCTGTGTCTAAATTGATGTTCAATTCTCTATCATGTTAGGAGCATCTGATTCAGAGGTGTCTGAGATTGTGGAGGTGAGAAGCAGGTGTTGGAAATCACAGGATAGGACCGGTCTTACACTTCTTGTTTTGTCTCGATGGCCTTGGCCCTTGGGAAGGCGATCAGGTTCCGAAAACGAGTGTAAAACTAACCCGTACAGGTCAGTTGCCATATTCGGGCGAAGTGTTGAGCAAGCCACAAGTCAAGTCCATACAACCGGGCCCATGTGTCACTTGCAAAGGAAATGAGTCGGGAAGGATTTCCACTTTATGGACAACATCTCCACCAACAAGGCCATTTCCACCCTTTCCAACTCTTTCCATGTTCAACATGCATGCGATCTCCATGTTCTTCCTCACAACCCCCCCTTCCTCCCTCACCCAGGGGCCTTTTCAATTGCACCCTGCCAAGTTCCACAGGTTCGGAGACCACCAAAAGCACGGCCCTCAACTGGCAATCTGATGGTCCGAAGCGTCGTCCGCTGAAGCTTTGAGCCCAATTCGGCGGACGGTCCGACGGTGGTGGTTGTAGACTCTGGCGACCTTGCTGGACTCTGCTCAGATGCATCTGGTGCAGCTGTCCCCTACAGTTTGACTAAGCCCATCCAACTGGGGAGAGTTCCCAAGACTGCCCACTGACTCCCTCAGTTTCCGGAAAGAAGTGTTACCCTTTTAGTTGTCCCATCTGTTCTTACCACACATGCGAGCGCGACTTGAATATTTTGGTGGGAAACCAATTCCCAATTATGTCCACTGACCGGGTAGGGAGGGAACCTGCGGACGTAGAAAGAGCTGAAGCCGGCTGAACCTTGGACCAAAAGACTGGCTGCTCCAATCAAAGACGCCAATCCTCAAGGGCAAACACACCCATGGAAAGATCTGGTCACCTGGTCTTCATTAAATGACAAAAAGACTAAAGCTATCTAAAGCTGCAGGGGTGAATGAACACCTCCAACCATAACTTGTCTAGAGTCCAACGGAGTCAGAGCGCCCAAAAACACGGGACGGCTCCCAAACAGCGACCGTGGCTGTTTCCGCGCGCCGTGGCGCAGTCACGGGGCCTTCCGTGTTCCCGAAGCGCTGCGGGTTCACCGAGTAAGCGACCTGGGTCAAGAGACGCGCGCCGTCGTTCCGCGTCGTTCGTCGGGAGAGTGCGAAAAAGGGCAGGGCCTGTTGATTTGAAGGATGTGTCATTTCTTCACATGCACTGTAGATTCTATGCGGTTGCACCAAAATTCTCACCAGGTGATCAGCAACATCTGGAGGATGTCTCCAATCAGTGCTGCAAGTGAGAGTGAGGCCACAAACCGGTTGCCCGCACACGAGAACTGCCCTTTCCAAGGCGTTCTGAGCTAAGTTGACAGCGGCGAATGGACAAACATCCTTGTACCTTCCAAACCAAGCGAACAACTCTATCTTTATAATGGGTATGTCTGGTGCAGGATTCAGTTTATCAACTTTGGAGCGACGTAGCAAAGCGTGTCCGCGAGTGATTGCACGCTGGTACGCTGGCGGTGGCTAGCTGCGCTGATGACGCTGGTTACGCTGGTTACGCTGATTACGCTGATTACGCGATTACGCTGGTTACGCTGGTTACGCTGATTACACTGCTTACGCTGGCTACGCCGATTACGCTGGTTACGCTGGTTACGCTGATTATGCCGATTACGCTGGTTACACTGGTTACACTGGTTCCGATGATTACGCCGATTACGCCGGTTACGCCGATTACGCTGGTTACGCTGGTTACGCTGGTTACGCTAGATACGCTGATTACGCCGATTAAGCGGATTACGCCGATTACGCTGGTTGCCCTGGTTACGCTGGTTACGCTGATTACGCCGATTACGCCGGTTACGCCGATGACGCTGGTTACGCTGATTACGCTGTGGATACGCTGGTTACGCTGGTTACGCCGATTACGCTGGTTACGCTGGTTACGCCGAATACGCCGATTACGCTGGTTACGCTGGTTACGCTGATTACGCCGATTACGCCGGCTACGCCGATGACGCTGGTTACGCTGGTTACGCTGGATATGCTGGTTACGCTGGTTACGCCGATTACGCTGGTTACGCCGATTAAGCGGATTACGCCGATTACGCTGGTTGCACTGGTTACGCTGGCTACGCTGATTACGCTGCTTACGCTGATTACGGTGTAGACGGTGTAAACGGTGTAAACGGTTAGACGGTGTAAACGGTGTAGACTGTGTAGACGGTGTAAACGGTGTAAACGGTGTAGACGGTGTAAACGGTGTA